AGAGAGAGAGAGAGAGAGAGAGAGAGAGAGAAATGTTCTCCCAAATACCCTAGAGAGGTACATATGCATGAATAATCAGGTGAGATTTATATAAGGTATCGTATCTAAACTGTAGAAGTAATGTACACTTCTAAATTTTCTTTGGAGATGTTTTTCTGGTGTGAGAAACCTTATGATGGCTATAAAATGTACTTTCATCCCTAGTTATAAAATTTAGAAATGTACTTTCATCCCTAGTTATGAAATTTAGAAAACTTAACAAGGGTACATATCAAATAGATCGACAAACAATTGAAAATCTTGAAAATAGATCGTTTAGATGACTAATTACAAGATGCACTATTTTTTGGGACCTGAAATTCTTTTCTTTCATGTCCATAGACTAAATAAAGAAAGTTTCAAGCAAAATTCAATCTGACGTTGAAACAATGAAGATCCATAATCCAGCCATATTAGTTAACAGTTTTCGGTTTTTTCTCAAGAATCCTTCTCAAGAATCCAAGTTCATTCTCTCTGATCAACTGAACCAAAACATCCAAGCTTGGATGGCATTTGGGAGAAGCAGTCTGTAAAGATAATGAGAGGCCCCCTTAAACACTCGTGTGTACGTGTGCGTGCGTGAGAGAGAGAGAGGGAGAGAGAGAGAGAGAGAGAGAGAGAGAGAGAGATCACCTAGATACTAGCAACCTCGGAGAAAGCTTGAAGAGTAACCGACCCCTTTCAGTCTTCCATCAAGGATCATGAGAACCAATTCAAGGCCTTCACTCAGAGCCTGAAAGACAGTATGCATCTCAATATCTGACTATGGTCTTGGTCCTCTATGATGGGTTCAATTGGAACAAGGTTGCCAACTGAAGAATAGACCAATTGCAAAAGGAACAAAGAAAAGAACACCAAGACAAACAATGAAATTTCTTTTTTTTATTATTATTTTTTGTTCTACAGTTATTATCTCAGATGCTACCTTAAAGTCATACAGAAGGGATTTGCAATAAGAACCTAAAGAACATCCTGAATATTATCTCCAACACCAAATGCTAGCATGGCTCAATGGGTTATATCCTGTCTACAGAGCCCATGACGGATGATTAACGACTGCTATCAGAAACTGATCATAATCAGTCTTAGTCACAATTTAATAGAGTGCCATGAGGGATAAGTGGGATTGAGGAATGTCACATGAATCCATCTCAAGAACGAGAAGCCACAACCATGATAAGTTAATGCAAATAATGGATACATGATGTTTGGGAAAATAAATTCAAATCAACCTTGCAGTAGCTCATGTCTTTGGTTTATGGCTCCTGCCAAGAAATTAAAAACATGAAAAAAATGTGTGTCTGCAATTGTAAAGTAAAGGAAGAAAAAGGCTACCAAATATTGCACATCTATGACAGTCATGCAGGGTGGGTCGTTGCAGTAGCCCATGTAACTAATTCTTTATCTTCTTTTTGGGTGGTTCAGTAGTAGGATTTGAACTTGAGACGTACTGTTGCAATTGTCAAAACCTTAAACAATAAAGACTCTGCCCAAATCCTTGGAACTATTCCTATTCGTGCATCAAAATGCACGTGATCTATTATTTGCAATAGATAAATTTGTGGATAGAGGACGATCATATGTTTCCATACATTCCACTTCCTTGTTGATATTAAGTCTGACAATAAAATTTGCTTAGGTACAAATTTTGGGAATTGCTAAATCATAGCAGCTGCCCTGTGCCCTCTTCTATGGCAGCAATTTTACATAAAACTATCTCTACAATTAGCACTCGCAATTCAATTTGTCCATTCTATTTAACTATTTGTGCAAATGTAGCAACATTGAGGTTTCTACAGAATGTGATGTTAATCTTTTACTTACGCATTTTTTGACATTTCACAATCTAATAGTTTTCCTTGTGCATGACTTTACCCTCCAGGAGTACTCCAAACATTTCCAAAATATTTCTAGAGCTTAACCTATAAAATAAAGTACATAAATGTTAAATGATCAAGATACCAAGGTTGGAATAGTAATGTTTTCCATTCACCTTACTTTATCACTTTCTATTGTTCCCCTCGCTTTCTATTAATTTTCTTATTCATGATCTAAAGAAAAAGGAAGAAAAGAGAGCAAAGAAAAGATTTTGCTGTTGACAAGATTTCTTAAATTCCATTCCACTTCCTGTTGTGATTTTCATGACACAAAGAATGGGCCAAGATTGATAAGGGTAGAAACTGTTAAAAACTATATATAATTTGTAATTTTCTCTCTCTACCCATCTCCTCCTTTCTCTAGAATTCTCTAGAAATATTGTTATATTTCTCTATAGTTATGCAGAGAAGTGTGCCATTAGATTCATTCTCTCTCATCTTCTAGAATCATATACAAGTCACATTAGTCTCTAGAAATGTGCCTTTTTGTAATCCAAAGAAGAATATTCTAGAGAAATCCAAGGAGGTCTAAATAGGATGTAAGGAGGTGTAAATAGGATGTATAGCCTTAGAGCCCAAGTAATAAAAAACTTGCAACACTTTCAAGTTATCAATAAAGTAATAAAAAACTTGCAACACATAATCAATAAAATTTCATCTCTTTAATTTCTCTCTTCCGACTTCGGCATAACCACATCAAAATAGAAAATGCCACTCCATATTTTCATTGCTCCAACAAATTTGTTATTAAAACATCCTAATCTATCCAATTTTTTTATTTCCCTTCATCATATTTACATACTTCACAGTGTTGTAACAAATTCCAGCAATTCTACCAATTTTTTTCAAACGTGCCCATTTTTAATGGAGAAAAAACTATGATCATTGGCCTCTCCAAGTGAAGACACACTTCATTTAACAAGACTTTTGGGAACTACTTGAAGAAGAATATCAAGAAATAGAAGATGCAGCAACTCTAGCATCATGGGCTCAAGCAAAACAAAAGAAATACAAGGATAAAAAAAAAGGGGAGATGCAAAAGCTAGAATAGATCGATTATCTTTCATTGACAAAATAATCAAATGCTCGCCATAGAGAATGAAGTTTGATAGAAAGAAATTACAAATTCTATCTTTTTAAACAACATAATTTAGTTCTACTTCCTGGAGTATGTGGTGATTCTAAACTAGAAATGGTCATACAGCTCGTATTGCATTTGTGAAGCCATTTACAACTGGACCATACAAATGTCCATCAGAAGTCACTAGGTAATTTTCAGAACTCACTAGGCAAATTTTTGTAATAGAATCTAGACCAAAACTAGAGAATGGCTGCGAGAAATGATCGTATAAAGCAGATTGAGGTGCATGCCTGACATTGTATAGTTTTGACAGGCTAAACCCTTTTTACATGTTAAAAATACTCCTTTTACCATGGCTGACCAATATATACTAACTTCAAATGAGCTTTGATAGTTCTTTTTAAAGATTTTTAAAAGAAGTTCCCTTTTTTAAAGACTGGGACTGCCATATTTAAGGTTTTCTTAAAGTATCTTCTATACTGGATTATAAGTTAAGGAAAATTGTTTCATGCGGGCTGGAATGCATTTCTACATTCTGCGGTCCAGAGGTATAAAGCATCCATGTTAAAGATGGATGCAAATAGGTGGTCCATCTAAACACAATTGTAACTATATGTCCAAATGTTTTCTTAACATAATTATTATTTTTAGTTTTCAATTTTTCTTTTTTTTTTTTTCATGATCTCTATGTTAAAGATTATATATTCTCTAAAAATTAGGATCAAGTTGTATTTAAAAGATATATTATTGCCAAGCCCGCATTTCTACAATATGCAGGCTGGCCACATAGAAACCGTGTCCTATAAGTAATTCAAATGTCAAGAAACCAGGGGCATTGAGTATAAATTAGAAGTCATGTTCTGACTCATAGTAAGTCAAGTTTCAGTAAAAGAAGACAACTTGCAAGATTGCTACCATCGTTATCTTCTCTAAGTTGGAGAAACTTATGTTTCCTAAGCAATCTATTTTTTGGAGGGATAAATGTTTCATGAGCCCATCATGCTCCCTTCCGAATTGCTCTAAGTAAAGGTGTCCCAAATGATATCCATGCCCTTCACCAATTCAAGGCTAGTTTAAAGCCTGCCAGAATGAAATCATAATCAAATATACCAATTCGTCTTTTCCATGTTGGAATGTTGGATACATTTGAGTTCTTAAACTAGTCACTGTTATAAAGCTCTGTCAAAAACCCAACTATTTAGTTTATGCTATTCTAACAAAAAATCCCTTATTCTGATTTTCAAGTATTTCCAAATCTAGGTTAAAAAACTCAACAAGTTGTTAGGGGGGCAGGACCACTAACCTAACTCTACTCTAGTTTTTGGGCCTTGCCTTACCACTCAAACATAAAGATTAACAAGAATCCGATAAAATCAGCCAGTAAGTAGCATTCTCACTATCAAAACTAAGAGTTCCTTGTTAGAAGTCAATAATATTCTTCAAAAGATTATAAGGAAGCAATTCACTATTGCTAATGGTCAAGTACAATGTCAGATTCTCATAAAATATGAATCCCTTTCACAAACCTAATTTCATAAAGATAGATGAGCGATTAAGCCAAAATGGTATCATTTTGTAGCAAACCCAGTACTCAAGAAAAGGAAAAGTGTTGCTCACAGTTCAATCTAATACAAAAAAATCAAGCAATTGAGGCCTTCTACATGTTATAGATGAAGAAGACAAAATAGCCATGATCACATACACAACCATGTAGCCCTAACAGAGTTTAAAGCACCTAACACAAAAAACTGAAGCAATTGAGGCTTCTACCTGTTATAGATAAAGAAGACAAAATAGCCACGATGACAGACACAACCATGTAACCCTAACAGAGTTTAAAGTGCCTTACTAGTCAAAGAGCTATCCACCATGGTCATATAACATTGACATGGCAATTCCTTGAGCCTGGAGAAATTCAAAATTTCGAGAGAAATTTGACATAGGAAACTGCTATAAACATGAAGAGAAAAGTCAAATGGAAAAACCAACCAGATGAAACCAACCTTTATGGGAAATACTTCGAGTAGATTATTTTCTGTCTTTCACTATATTTCATATGCACTAACTCGGTTGCCTGGAACCTCTTTACCTCACCTCTCGTATGTGACATGCTCTTCCCAACTATGCAGGATGAAACCTCATCGTACCAAAGAGCTGGACAGAGATTCTTGAGCCTCGGTGCCTTGAAATCTGCTCTAATCACATCCACCCACTCCTTCTCTTCACCTAAACACCAAATCCATGCCTCCAAATCTTTAATGGTTACCATCGCTAAAGATAGTTGACATATACAGAGTGCACTTCGTTCTGCTTGAGTTCATTAACTTGGGGTCTTCTTTTGAGAAAGTTTGACTTTGCATTAATATAGTAGAATTTACATGTTCACATTACAGCAGTAACTCTTCAAAAAAACAAAGCGATTTGTACAATGAATTACACAACTATTCAATTCAGGGCTTAGCCCTGATCACAATAAAAAGAGCGAGGGGACTTCCATCTTCCCCAATCAGCACAATGCCCAGTGGGGTGTGAATCTTCTACCATTTTTCTCTCTATGTGAAATGACGTTACATGGTTAGCTTTCATATAACAGCAATAGCATGCACATAAATATACAAAGATCCATGGAAAATATGTTCATTTTGGGATCTGCTTCTTGTATGGTCCAGCTCTTCAGTGATGACTTTAAATTTAATGTGATGCGGTCCAAATGAACCCAGAATTCAATGGTGTTGTCACTTAAGTAGCAACCTGATGGCCTTTTGCATGAGTAGTTGCAAAATATTTGACCACTTTACACTAAAAAAGGGCTCAAGTTTATGTGACTGCTGTTATTTTTTATGATTTTGAATTCTTATATGTAAATAAATACATCGCAATTACATGTGCATGTCCTTTCATGTTCAGATAGCTTAGTTGGATTATTCACAGTTGGGATCAAATTTGAGCACGTACAGATTTTCCATTGCCTAGTGCCATGCCAGTATTCTATAAGATAAGATCATCGAGAAACAAGTGAAGCAACAATCAATCAAAGGAAAAAGTTAACATCCTTCTCGACATGTTTCGTAACTGCAACTGTAATCTTTTAACTTGAAGAGTTTGAATTAAAGACTATAGAGACTCACAACCTACTGTCAAAAAAACATCAACAGCTAAGCACACACAATGATGCCTCAACTGCCAGTGTAAAGATTAAAGCAGAAGAAAACACAACGTTAAATCTTTTAAAGATCGGAATACAATGCAGAGCACCTACTTTGGGTGAATAAACCATGACAGTGTCAACCTAGCAGCTTAGAAATAGGGATTTTATTCTTGTCAATGCTTGATATTGAACAAGGTCTTACAGTAATTGGTTTTTCCAATTCCATCTCATTGAAAGCGATAAGCCACGAAGGTACTAAAAAACACCCTTTCACCCAGAATTCAGCCTAACACCTACAACAAACTCATCGAGTGTGTCTTCTAAGGTCAAAGACAACCAAAAGAACAACAGGCATGGTGGTTCACTCAACAAACCATGTAAATCTTGTAGGCCAAAAGTGCTGAAGCAAAAAATAAAATAAAATAAATAAAATACATAAAAATAGAAAGGAAAAAAGGACAATGACTTTCTACGAGCTCAGTCTAACATATTCATATGACACAGTCCTTGCAGTTTCAGTAGCTCAAAGACTAAAGAAATTAAGAGAAAAAAAGTCTAACTATAGACAGAAGTTAATATATATATATATATATATATATATATATATATAAACATCATCATCCGAGCCTTATCCCAACTATATGGGATCCGCTACACGAATCCTGTTACATAATTTCGCTCTATCAAGGCTCAAACTCTCAGTCAAACCATACATCACCATATTTTTTCTCATTACTTCCATCTATGTCTATTGGGGCCTTCCCTTTGCCCTTTTAGAGCCTTCCACTTGAACCACATCACGACTCCTAACTGGTAATGTTCTAGGTTGACGTTGTGCATGAGAGAACACCTAAGACTACTTTCCCTTATTTTATCGCCTACTGGACCCACCTAAGTTCCCTTGAATTTATTCATTCCAAATTCTAGAGTTCCTTGTCTTGCCACTCAATCATCTCAATATCCTCATCTCAACCACAATCATTCTATCGATATGTTGTTTATTGAGCGTCAAAATTTTATCCCATAAAGCAGGGCTGGTCTTACAATCATTCTATAGAACTTCCCCTTCGGTTTCATTGGTTCACGACTATCACATAAGATTCCAGAAGCACATCTCCACTTCATTTACAAAGCTTAAATTCTCTGAGCAACATCTACCTCAATTCTCCTTTCTCATAGATTATCGCTCCAAGATATCGAATACAATCTCTTTTAGGTACTTCTTGGCTATCAAACTCAAGTAATTCCTTGTTCTGCTCATATTATTACTAAACTTGCATTTCATATATTTTATCTTAGTCCAGCTAATTTCAAAACCTTTGGATTCTAAAGCATCCCTCCAAAGTTCTAACTTTGTCTTTACATCGTCTCTAGTCTAATCAATCAAAGCTATGTTATCTGCAACCAACATACACTATGAGACCTCATCTTGTATACGCATAGTTAACTCGTCCATAATGTAGACCCCACATGTAGGCCTACTAACAATGAAAAACTCACTTGTCTCTCCATTAAATGTCCTCAAATTAGTTTGTGCTCCCTTGTATATATCTCTAACCATGTCAATATATCCTCTTTGACACTCATTTCTTCTCCAACACCCACCAAATTCTCTCTAGGTAACCTATCTTAAGCTTTCTCAATCAATAAAGATTATGTGGAGTTCTTTTCTCTTCCCCTTTAACTTCTTAATCAATTGCCTAAGTAGGAAAATAGCCTCAATGGTTGACTTCCTTGGCATAAAACTGAACTGATTTTTTGATACACTCGTTCATGTCTTAGTCGTTGCTCGTAACTCTCTGCCACAGTTTCATAGTGTGGCTCATAAGTTTAATCCCTTGATAGTTCGTATTACTCTGTAAGCCACCTTACTCTTGTAAATAAGTACAATAATACTTTTCCTCCATTCATATAGCATTTTCTTTGTTATCAAAATCTTGTTGAATAGCTTGGTCAACTAGAATATACCAATCTCTCCCATGCACTTCCAAACCTCTAATGGTATACCATCTGGTCTCAGAGCCTATCCTACCTTCATCTTTCTTAAAGCCTTTTTCACTTTAGATATCCTAATCCTACAAGGTATCCATGACCTCTGACCTCGTTATATCAATGATTCCTCCAAATGTGGTCGTCATTTAAAAACTTCTGAAAATAGATTCCCCACCTTTCACGGACCATGTCATCCTTCACCAACACCATCTAATCATCACTCTTAATGCATTTAACATGATCTAGGTCCACACATATCCTCTCTCTCTCTCTCTCTCTCTCTTATCTTTGCTATTTTGAAGACATATTTTTCACCTTCTCATGTCTTTAATTTATTGCATAGATTACTATAAGCCTTAAGCTTAGCCTTACTTAATATTTTCTTAGCATTTCTCTTGATATTTCTACATTATTCTAAATTCTGATCATTGCTATCCCCTTGTCAAGCTTTGTAATATGAATGTATTTTGCTAATGGCCTTTTGAATTTCATTATTCCATCGTCAAAAGAATAGTTTTCTCCTTTGATCATAATAAAAAAATGGAAAACGTTCAATTGGAACATGAAAACGTGACTTCTAAAACTTCTTTTGCCACTTTGTTAAATCATCTCATTCCATGTAACATTAACTTTGTTATCATAATTTTATTTTCCTTCTTTCGTCAATTGTTCCTAAATAAGTCTATGTTCTCACTTTTTAAGTTCCACCACCTAGTTCTTAGACACCCATTAATGTCACTCCATCTCTTAACACAAAAATCCATACCCATGAGCCTATGTTGTATGGTCAAATTCTCTACTGGGATTCCCTCATAGTCTTTTTACATGATGATTGTTCTGTCTTCTTAACTAGAAAAAAGTCTAAGTGGATATTATATGATTTACTTTTGTAAGTTATTAAATATTCATCTCGCTTTTAAAATGTGTTTGCTCTTGTTAGATCAAAAACCCCCAAAAACCAATCATAAATAAAAACCCCACAATGAGGTTACCAGAAGATGGAGGAATCCAAGAAAAAGTTTGCAATTTTATTTAACGAATTTATGCTGGAAACAACATGAGACAGAAAGCTCTCAACTATCACTACTTTATGACGAAAGTTGCAACAAATTTGCTCTAAAAAAGAAAGATATTGCAAGAGATAGGAGTAAAGAGTTGCACACAATACAGAAAAAATCAAAAGTAAAAAAATAATATGAGTTACCCAGATGAGGAAATCCAATCTATATGCAGAAGCTTCAGTTTTCCCAGTCATTCAATACCCTATCAATAACTTTAGCTAGCTTCTCCAACCCATTAACCAAAGTTCCACCCTCTTTGTGAACACAGCCAACAAAAGCTTCATTCAATTCTTGGGCCTCTCTCACTCTAGCCTCTCTCAACAGGCACCTCAAAACCAGACCCCATGAATCTGGACCAGGAATAGCTGAATTACCCACCATAAATCGAACAACTCTCAAGGCCTCAAAACCCATTGGCCACCTATAACACCCCTTGATAACCTCTTCACACAAAGAATAATCAGGAGCCCATTTTGAATCCTCCCCACAAAGCCTCCCAAAGAGCTTCATGCCCTCCTTGAACCTCCGTCTTCCAAAATACTCAACAATTAGGAGTTTGTTAAGAGATAGAAAGTCATCTTTCTTGAGACACCTTATGTGCTTGAGCTTGGTGATGAGAGCCATGGTTTGGGCCAAGTTGGGTTCTTCACAGAGCCGCTGAACCAGCGATTGGATGGTGGAAAGAGACTCGATTGAAGAATTCGCCATGAAACAAGCTTCGACGAGCTTGATGGCTTCTAGTAAGTGGTTTTCATGGCAGAGGAGAGGTATCAGCTGGTTCACTCTCTCTAATTCTTCTTCTGTGAGATGGGTTTTGTTTGAAGACAGAGATGGAGTTGAGGTGAGTTGGGTATTGTCTAGAGAGAGAGAAGAGGAGGAGGGAGGAGCAGGAGAGGACACTTGAGCAGTGTTAGAGAGTATGGAGGTCACTTGCGTATTGCGTTCGACGGGAGAGAGGGAGGAGGAGAGAGAAGGTGGTCTTTTTTTCTCCAAAGAGAGAAGAGAGAGAAGTGCCGGAGATGGACTGTGTATTTTCTGGAGAGAGAGAGTAGGAGGAAAAGGAAGAGGAAAGAGAAGGGAAGGGAAAGCGCCTGAGCAAATGTGCCACAGGTTTCATTATGGCGTAAAGAGGAGACGACAATGCCTACCGAGTTCACATGAGACACCATGGAATCGAAACAAACGGGCCCTCGACAATTCTTTATGTTCGAGAGAGATTGAGAGATGATCGCCGCTATTTGGCTGGAGATAGGGGTGGCAACGGGTTGGGTATGGGTCGGATCTTGATGGACCAAGATCCATATCTCAAGAGTTGGGTCGAGGTTTTGGACCCGGACCTTACCTATTGAGTCCAAAAATTAGACCCACACCCATCGGGTTTGAGGCCAACCTAGTCCGGTATCGGGTCCATTGTCAACCTCACTTAGAGCTTCTTTTTTTTTTTTTTTTTATCTTTTTTTTTAACCATCATATACCTCTTTTATTGACAACAATGTCACAATCACACGCTATTAGATTTTCAGCCGTGTGATTTGTCGTTTAATAGCTAAGAAGACTACTGGCTCTAATTATATACGACCTTTAATACACCCAAATGAATAGGGCTTATAGTAAAGTATTTTATCTTTAACGATTTATGAGTACAGGTTAGATCCAGATGGACCCGAAAGCCAGGTCCAAATGCTTGACCGATACCCGACGGGTCTCGGTTTGGGTCTGGGTCCATTGCCACCCTATATTTAACTATATTTAAATATATTTTATATATTGAAACCCAAAAAATATTATCTAACCCGGACCTAGACTCGGACCCGAATAATATTTGGGTCCAAGATTTGGAAGCTGACCCAACCAATTGGGTCCAAATTTTAGACCCATATGCAGACCCAAATTGAATCTATCCCTCGGGAGCCAGGTTACGTCCAGGTCCATTGTTGGTGGTATAAGACCAATAGGCTAGAAATGCAATCTTTTAAAAAAAAATTTATTGTATAAAAACTCAAGGGATTAATGCATGAATATCTCAATACAAAACCATAATACATAAATTCCAGCCTACAAACATGGTTTATACACATTTGAATAATAAAATTCAACCCCAATAGGTCCCTTACAAATCCCTTACTAAAACATACAATTAAATTGAATACAATATTCAAATATTCACATTGTATATCTCTACAACATATTGCATGACTTGCAATCGCAATTCCTTATTATATCAAAATTATATGATAATTTCATCTTCATTCTTCATCCTCATAATATCTTATACACATCATACACTTGATCATAATAATTCAATAAGATTTCAATTCGCATAAACAATAATGCATAGCATTAAAGCACATACCGCAAGAAAAAAAAGAAAAACAATCTCAATATTCATACAACATACTCAACTTAATCAATCATGAATCTATTAAATAACTGTAAATATATCAAATTAACATGCAAACATATATGGAGAAACCATGGTTCGAACCCCTTTTGCGAAAGGGCTTTTTGAATATTTAATTTTGTCCTATTGTCCAAGGCACAGGTAATAATAATAACTCAAGGAGATCAATCCAATAGGAAGCAAATGATCACATTTATTTCACTTAATGGGGATCAAATAATGAGAGAGACATGTATCAAAATAGTTCTTCAAAGTTTGAGAGATATACTACATAATATAAAGAAGTTATGGTGAAACTACACCATGTGGTCCATAAGGGACCAAACAAACTTTTCAACATTAAGGGAACTCAATGGATTATTTCTTATGCTCAATTATGATGAAATAAACGTCTCATCAGTTTTTATTCTCAGTAAAACATTCTAAAAAAATAATATCAAGAAATCAAGTTGAAACTACTCAAGATCATGGAGTAAGCAAACTAGTCTACACATATTATGTGTATGGACTACACTATTGCTTGGGTCTCTTCAAATATCATGTTTTCATTACCAATAGCGAAGAAAGCTATTGTAAATTAAGAATTATAGCAAGTTTTGATAATGGAAATGAGACAGGAATTAAAAATATGAAAAGAAAAATCAATACTTTAATGAAACAATGGTATGGACTTGATCACATAAATAATAGACTACTCCATGGAAGGGTTTCAAATGATAGCTCAAGGAAAAAGATAATATCATGGGTGACAGCATTTTTGTCAAGGGCTCTCTCTCTTTCTTTCTCTCTCTCTCTTTGAAGTGAATATTCAAGTTAGGGTAATAATTGATCCCATAAGTTATTTTTATATTTAGATCATAAAGATGGATTTGATCGATCATAAAGATGGATTTGATCTTGATCATTGATGCCTTAAATCAATTGCACATGAGAGGCTTTTATCCAAGCCACTCATTCATATTTTATCACCAAGATCAATGGATAAGCTTTTAACACCCTTCACTCTTCAAAACCTAAGTTTATAGTCATTTTACCTTGAAGCCCTTAGCTCAATGTTTTATTTCCCATTAAGTCTAAATTCATTTTTACATTTATACCTATGGTTTTTGAATAATTTGTGAGAGTCAATATAATACAAGGATATGAACATAAAGGTAATATGGGACATCTACACATGTGAATAAAATATCTTATGACACTACCAATAGGATTTTAATAACACTAAAGTTTCACATGGGTCAAGCCCATAAGGTAGTGCCACATAAGATGTACTCACATGCTACAAAATCATATGTTGATAATAATATGAATTAAATTAATTTTCAAAATCCCATGACTTCACATATGCCAAAAATGACACATATGAGCTAAAAAAAAAACATGTGACTTAAATCAAACTTAAGTCATAACAATATATAACCCTTTAAATAACAAGATAATCATGTTATAACATAAAACCAACAAAAGAATTAATGACAAATAGGTCCCCACATGGATATGACGTCAGCATGGTGTCATCCACGAGTGGGGAGGTGAGGGTGCCACGTGGCATCCCTATGGCCATTTGGGATCCATGTGGCATCCCTATGGCCACTTGGGATCCATGTGGCATCCCCATAGGATGATCTTGTTTGGTATTTATGTCAAACAAATTTGAAAATCACATTTTTTATTGTGTAAAAAATCTGAAAAAATTATCCAAAAATCTAAAAAATTGTCTAAATGATTTCTCAGCATTATTATACAATTTCTCATTAATATAAAAATATTTTCTCGTCAAGTTTAGATTAATTTGGGCCAAAGGTAAATGAGATCTCTACACTTATAACACTAGTCAGAGTCTTCCATTGGGCTAACCCGAATGACGTTCCACCGGTGTCTCAAGACGACCATATGGACTTATGGTCCATAGTCTATGGCAGGCACTCATAATTGGGTACATCAAAGTCGTTGAGCTAGAGCTTCTCGTCACCGCAGGTTCAATGGATTACTGGTGCACCCATGTGGGACATGTTCCTACTCAAATACAGGGGTCATCTTAAAGCACATATGCACTAGCTTTTCTAAGTCGGATAATATTATAAAAGAGTGACTTCCCCATATGATTGTGGGTGCACATGCATTGAATGATCTCGTGTGAGGATACGGGCTCATGTCCCATGAGCCGACCATTCTATACAGAGCGAATACTCTTTTAAATACTCGGGTTATATTATTATCTATTGGATTCTCCAAGCCTTGGCTTATCACAACAACTATGAGGCATTTTAATCAATATATTCTTGATTAGGAGGTGACCCTCACACTTCTCCGAGAGTTCACACTTTCAAAACGTATACTTTCAATACCTCAAATACTCGGGGTATATGAATTTAGGTCTCAGTTCGACAAGTACCCAGATTCAGTCTCTCTCTAACTCCCACTGAGTGTAAGACTATTGGCTTTAAGGCCTTGAAATGTCACATAGCTAACATCCATTACCACCCCTAATAGCAAAGTGCCTTCTACAGAAGGTTTGAACCAAAATTCAATAGATCATGGAGTTGTTGTGATTGATTTGTGAAAAATCAACAGGGGTTTATCACAATTACAACTATTGTGCATTCAAATCAACATAAACAAACAATAGAAATAATATGGCATCTAAACTACATCATGGAATGAAAAATACAACAACAAACCACATAGCACAAAGAAATAACGTTGTTTGGTCACAAAATATGACCTACATCCACGTGAAAATGGCACTAGACTTTACTTATTTATTTAGGAAGATTAGAAGAGAGATTGAGTCCCAAAGCTGCAATTTCTAACAGTTGTAACTCTCTCTTAACAGGGCCCAAAATAGGGTCCAAATATACTACAAAAGTATACTTTCTCTCTAGGGACCCAAAATACCTAAGCTTATGCCAAAAAATCTCCACTTCCTCTCACTACAAAGTGGGGAAAAACAGGACCAACAGTAGACCCTACATATGCTTTCACTTTCTTCCTTCTCTCTTTTTTCTCTCTCCTTTTCTCACTCTAAAACAATGACTTTCAAGTCCCTTATATTTGGGTTCTTACTAAATATCACAACCCTTGGATTAAAAGCCAATCCAATGCCCTAGATATAGAGAAAAAAAATCAACAAGGTAACGGAAAATAAAACTCGAAGTTCACATATGCGATTTGGCTTCACACATATAACAATCTCATACTTGAAGATAAATCACTAAGCACATAAATAACAATCTCCCACTTGAACACAATTATGCAAGCTTCTGAAGTAACCTCAAATGCATCATTCTCCATCCATATCAGGTTATTCTTTTCTTGACGAACCTAGAGAGCCTAGACAGTACCGCATACTCTCTAGCTCAATAACCTCAATGTGCATGCTTTGCTCATCTTGTTTCATGTTTGTAC